GATATTGATAGTTTAGATTTCTTTTCAAAATTAAATATTTTAAAGAAATTTTACAAATAGAAGAAAACAATCTAATTGATGTACTAAATTATATAAAAAAAAATTAGATTAACTTTTAAATACATGCATTTCTTTTACGCTATTATTGGCAACACAATTGCTTCAGAATTTATTTTTTTTTCAAAATTAAATTTGATAAAAATCATATATAAGATCAATCATGACACAAGATGTATTAGTTGGATTAGCCATACTATCAATTGAAAATGCTGTGTTGTAAGAACTTGAATGTAAAAACTTAATTAGTAATTTTGCATCTCAAAAAATGAGAAAATTCTATTTTAAATAATAATTATAGTGTAAAAAATTATAAAAAGCCTCATTTTGTGTTTTTTGCCTTAGGCCTCAAATAGGTATGAGCTGCCTCTGAATGGGTTGTAGCTTTGCTATTCCTATTGTTTCAATTTGGATTATAATGACACTCGTTACTATGTTAACCATACCACGAGGAAATTTTCATCATTCCTAGGCCTTGCAGTTGGGATGACAAAAACTTCGTATTTCCATGGACTTGACATTTGACCCATCTACGTCTCTTCACTACAAATTACTTGCAATCAACTCCAAAAAATGGTGCGGCCCTGATTGTTGAATTTCCATATATTTCTCGGACACTTGAACTTGGATGTTTTCAAGGGTATCATTTGCTTACATAATCAGTATAGTATTGGTGTCTTCTTTAATCGCCAACTCACAAGGGAACTACTGTATTTCGGAGAGTCTAGAGTCATTTACAGTTAATTGAATTTTATAAAAGTTCCTCTCGTCATTTGCACTTGTTTAAGTTGAAGAGCGAGTATTCTAAGTGGTTTGTGAAGTACCATGTTGACCTCGAAGCTGCCAAAATATGCATTGACTTTTTTCCTCCGCATGTACTCACTGTCTTCCAGAAAAATCAAATTTAATTACATCTCTGCCCACTTTCAAAATAAAAAATGGCAACAAATATGCCTATCTGGGCAGTTTTAAATTACTTTAAATTTTAAAAATGGCACAAATAGATATACTTATTTCCTTAAATTAGTTTCCAAATGGGACAGATATTTGTTGATTTATTTATTTTTAATTTATAGAATTTCTTATTCGATGTGGATCATGTTTTAAAGATCTTGAAAAGACGAATCCAAAAATATCAATTTCATTAAAAACAAAGTTATATGGTTAAAGTTAAAACATATTAAAGTTTTTTAGCACAAAATACACATTGCCACCACATGTTTGGACTTACCAACCAGAAAGTGCTATGCGTGTGTTCTTGTGATTTCTATGCTGGATGGGGCAATTTTTAGGTAGTTTTTAGTGTCTATAAAAACAGCCCCTTGTTGTAACATGATTTTGGAGTTTAATGAAAGTTTTTCCTGGTTAAAGAATGAGTGTGGAATTCTTCTACAAGACTCGAGTGTAGAACTCAAGAAGCCCCTATGAAGCAAGGTAAATTTCTATTCAATATTTTCCTAATAGCTGAATATCAGTTAATTCAAACAGACCTTAGTCGGCATAATCCGAACTTATCTCTTGGAATCTATTATTTTAGAAACCCCATCCTTATTTTCCTTGTTTTAATAATACTAAGCTGTCCTTCGTCACTAGTAGCAAGTGTATCACTCATTAAAGGTAGAAATGGCATGCAAGTGGCCATGGTGTTGATGGGCTTATTTTCCAATTGAACCTACAATTGCATAGCCAACCCAGTCCTTGGGAGCATAAACAAGGCAGCCCTGTAAACAGCAACTTTTCTGATCTGAAGTTGCTCTTAGATAATTATTTAACTTCATGTAAACATTATTTTGATTTCATTCTTCTTCGTGGTGTATATTGCCTAGTTAATTATTCATTTTGCTTCCATGACTGCTAGGACTCAACCAAAGTGTAGTAGAAATGCTGACAAATTTATGTCTATGAAATGTAGAATTCCTTTATTTTGAAAAAATTGATGCCTATCAATGAAGATCTCATTTTATGTGGTTGAATTTCACCTTATAGTAGAATTTGGTTATCAAGTCATATTGAAAGAGAAGAGTTGTATTGATTAGCAATCATGTCTGCTAGGAATAGATTCATATCTGTTATAGTTCTTCAAAAAATTGGTATTTACCAAAAAAATAAAACTTCAAAAGGAATTGGTTTCTTGCCAAGCAAGAAGCAATCATAAACTTTCTTAGAGCAATCCATGTTTGAAACAGAATAAAACAAGAATTGATCTCTTTTATTGGATTAAATTCTTGCCTCATTCAAACACCACAATGCGAATTACCTCTTTCTTCATTCTCATTGTTTCTTGGTTCTTAATTAGAGTGTGGCTGTGACTTGGTGCGATGGCATTGTGGAAAGTACTGCCCACCTCCAGTATTATGGCACAGGTTAGCCTAACGTGGCTGCAGGTATTACAAGGATGAACTCTTTTTATACGTATTATCTTCCTCATTTTGTTTGTAGAATTAGATTAGATTATGGAAGTCTAAACTATCAATTCTAATAAAGTGAAGTCTGGAACTGAAAATAAATGGGGCAACAAAAAGCAGCACTAAACTAGTAAGTTTTCAATGTTAGAAACATATTTTACTTTAGTATGTCAATAGATCTGAATTGTGGTGGAGACATTGCAGTGAAGTTGAAATCAAGACTCAAGGATACCCTTTTCTCTTGTTTTTTCTTTTGGTGGTTTGATTATCTACAATTTATGAAACTTGTCTTTGGTAAACAAAAAGGTTTAGTTATAGTTTTATCTTATTTTTCTCTTTGGTTGATTTGTACCTTACCCTGCTGTAGGTTGTAACCGTTGTATTCCTACTCATTTGGTTCCTTGTGCAAAAAAAAAGTTTGTATTCCTTTTCCCTCTCCTTTTTGTCTTCTAAATTAGTAGATTATTTGAAAATCATTTTATGCATTTGATGCCAATCTTTTTTCATTAGATAGCTGTATTCTAGAAATGTGTTAAGTTAATTAGGATGTTTAAACTTATGCTGTTAATATCAGTTCTTTTACATGTTCATAATCTAATCACCGAATTGGATACATAGGGTGTAAGAGTTTTAGAGATTAAGGGCTAGTTTGGCATGTACTAAATAAGTCAAAAAGTCAAAAAGTCACTATCTTATTTAAGTCACATCATCTTATTTAAATCACATCACCTCTCTAACACATCACATCAAACCCAACCCAAACCCAATCCAAACCCACCAATAAGTCAAAAAGTACACTTTTTTAGGACATCCCAAACCAACCCTAAATTTTTCTGTCTCTAAAAGTGAAAAATTATTGCAAAAGACATGTATGAACCGATTTCTATCGTCATGAGGATAGTCGCTAAAAAATCGTTCCAAAAAGTCAAAAACGACAAAATAAATAAACCTTTAGAGACAAAATAATTTGGTCTTCAAATGGTTTATTTTTTTAAACAAAAAATTTGGTCTCAAAATGAGAATAATTCATCACTAATGTCTAATTTTTGTTGATAAAAATATAACGACGGCACTTTTCAGAATAAAAATATTTGGTCCCAAAAAATAATTTTGTTCCTAAATTTTGGCCTCTAAAACTTTAATTTTTTGTAGTGGTGAGACCCACCTCATGTGAGAGGGTTGACAACTTTCTTCATCTCTAATAGCTTTACAAATTCAGTCTATAAACCTCAAACTTTTGTAAAGCATTTGTCATAAACAGAATTAGTTGTAATTAATGTTGACAAGAAAACAATAAAATTGGTAACTACATATACTACATGCACATATTTATATCTTGAAAAATAAAAAAATAAAAAATAATAATAAGCTCCCGAGATATTGATTTGTGATTATGATTCATTTTTAAACAATGAATAGCAATTCCAATCAAACAATCAATAACAAATCGACACAACGATTTAACATGAAAAAAATCACAATTGGTATATCTCCAATTGTGATAAAAAATCACGGGCCAAAATCACAAAACAATCTACTAAGAAGATAAAAAGGAATTACACACGAGAACTCTCAATTACCTAATGAATCCACGCCCGAATTGAACCGAACCCGATGTGCCTCTTCTACCACTGCCTTCACTATGGAATCGCTTTGCCCAACATTGAATCCACAACACCGATGTCGAATCCACAACGATGAACCACTTCGGAATCTACCAAAGCTTCAAGTCCAAGTTCCGTAGAATCCATCAATAAACACCTCTATCTTTTTGTGAATGAAAGAATAAAACTAAGCCTTGATGTTTGTCAATATTTAGTTCGTTGATCAATCGATCACTTTCTGTACATCAAGGAAACTCATATATAAACACCCTCTAATATAAAACACACTATATTTTACTTCTCTCTGAAAATCTAGATGGGTTGAACCCTAAAAAAACAAATAGCGCACTTTATACAAAACAGAGCTACAAAGACCACTCGAGCGCACACTTTACCACTCGAGCTGTGTGAGAAAAGGCAGTACTCACATATAAGTCAACCGCTCGAGTGCAACATCTACTGCTCGAGCGGTAAAACATGTCTCCCTGAAGTTCAAAACACAGACAGAGATACTGGATGAACCATTTCACCGTTCAAGTGCACAAAAGACCATTCGAGCGGTTAATCAACTTTGACTTTTTTCTTGGCTTTAGTTTCAGGGATCCCCGTGACAAACCAAGAGAGTTCAAAAAGATACAGAATGTCAGCACGAACTCCTCTACTCCAACATAACTCGGGTTGAATTCGCATCAAGTTCTCATAACTCACAAATACAATAGAGTAAATAAAAATACAACTGAATAAAATTTTGTCTAACAGAATTGTCAATTATAAAAATTTAACAATATCTGTACTACTATAATATAAGAGAGAGCTTATTGCTACAGCAATTTATGTATATCTTATTTTATACCCATTTTGCTCTCATTTGTTTGGACTATTTTATAATTTGATGGCCCAACTCTTCGTGTCAGATTGCCATGTGAAGGCCAGATGCTCTCATTTTCACATGGTCACTCCCTTTGTTTCAAGGAGAAAGAGCACGTCTCCATCATTTTACACTCTCTGTGGTTCAGTCTCCGTGGAAGATCTCCAAGATGTGGATCACAATGAGCTCACGATCTCGACCGAAGATGGGTTCTCTAAGATATTCAATAGTCTATGACTACTTGATCGTCAGATTTGCATATGTAGTAGTAGGCGTTGTCAAGCCATCTCAATTGAGGTATTTTCGTTTTAACTCGCCAATTCTTGGCTTAGATCACTATTTTGTTTTGCATTTTTAGGATTTTGCATGTTCTACAACATTTTATTATTTATTTTTTATGTGATTCTTTGTAACTCCATGCTTTAATTCGAGAGAATCAGATATTGAAGTAGTTAATGCTTCTCTATTCTATACCTTATTTATTTATTGTCTTGTTTATTGTTGTTATAGTTTCCTTTGAAAGTTCTATATAATCCATGGAGAAAATGTCCCAGGAAGTTGAAATTTGAAGTTGCTTACTATTTTTGTTTAGTTTCAATACAAGGCAATTGCTTGTTGTTTATGACATTGACAATAGGCTGCAAGCAAGAATAATGATGTGGATTTAGTTTATTTTATTGGAAGTAATTTTTTAATTGAGCAGGTGAATTAGAACTTCATGTTTCCCCTTTTATTTTGAAATTTGCAAATTTGCATCCATAGGGGATGCATTCGAACTTATGTTGCACAATACTGATCTTGGAAATCGTTGGAAGCCATTAAGAAGATCTCAAAATATGCTGCTCAGAATATAGTGGGCAAATTACATGGTATGAATTCAAATTCCTCTATTCGACCTTTGATCCCCTTTTTACTCTATTTACCCGTGTTATACTTGTGTTGTTTCATTTATTTGTTTCCGTTTTTGCTCCATTTTTCCTCTTTAATTATGTTTCGAGTATTGTTTAATTTAGGTAGAGAATTCATATAATCTATTTAAATTATGATTTGTTGAATTCTAGAATTAGAGCTTTCAACCTAATTTATTGAATTTATTTATAGGTGATTCTTTACGCCAAAAAATAAAATAAAAATTCCTTTCACTTTATATATTATTGCATCTTTGGGTTTGTGCATATAAGTATCAAATTATTGCCAATTGGTCACAATCTGGTCACAATCTCATTCAAGCTCTATATTCGATGATTGATTTATTCATTTGCATAACCCATATTTGTATTTGCTCATTCTTCTTGTTCATGGACTTTTTGGTTTTAATTTGTTAGATTTGATGTGTTCTGTGGTGAAATAGCTATTCATGATTCCTTTTGTGCGTGCTTTTGGTAAGAATTATATTGTCCTTGCTTAAAATTGTGGAGACTATAGGTGAAAGTGTGACTAATCTCCAACTAGGCTCAATGGCAATTGTTCATTCTCAGGGCAGTTCCTTCACTAGACCGACAACATTGGTCTTTGAGGTTTGTTTGGTTTTTTTCTCAATAGTTCACTTTTATGAGTTTGGCTTCTGGTTTTCCTTCTTCTTCTGACTTAATTTGCTGTTTCCTTCACTTATTATCCAGGATCGTCTTGCCAAATTGTCTGGTATGTTGTTTCTTCTACTTTGTTTGTCAATCTTGAAACTGATGTGTGAAGCATGATTAATTAGCATATGTGTCTAACTGTATGCACTGTAGTTTGCTTTGTGTTAGAACATAAGTAATATCAAGGTACTTCTACAAAAAATAAAAAAAATAAAATTGTTGTGTGCTTGAAATTCATTACAAAAAATCTATAAACCGAAAGCAGTGATGAAGACCTGTGTAAGACTGTCTTGAGGAGCATATTAAGGGCGTATTTGATTGAATGGATTAGAATATGAGATTGGGATTATTAATCCGTAGGCCCAATTATTCTATGTTTGTTTTAACATTTTGGTTTAAGATTATTAATCCAATAGATAATTAATCCAACAAATTTGTACGATTATTAGTAATGGGGTAGGGGTGGGATTATTAATCCAATGGATAATTTATCCTATTAATCCAATTGGATAGTGAATACCACACTAATTTAATAGGATTATTAATACCTCACTATTAGTCTTGTGAATCAAACACGGCCTAAAAGTCTTGTGTTCGGTTAATTTTGTGAGGTCGAATTTGGGGATATCATCCCGAGGGAGGGAGAAATTTGTGGTGTTCCACTCTGCAGCTCGAGACTGATTGACAATTGTTTTTCCTTTGTTCACACTGATTGAAGGTGCAACAGATTTTGCCTCTTATGGGGTTCTGTTTTTCATTTGTTTGAGCTCATGCTGGCACTCTGTTTTTGTTGAATATTACTTTGCTACACTTCGTCTTGTTTTTGTCTCGCACAGTGGCCATCTTACCGACTTCTAGATTGTAGTTTTTAGGACACTTACCGATTAGTCTTACTAATTAGACTTGTTTACTTCAGGTTATAATTAATAAATTTATCACTATAAAAATAAGAGATTGATAAATTTATTAATAAGACTTAATGGGGTAATAAGTCTAAGTTTGGCATCTTCAAAAAAAGTCAAAAAGTCACTATACTATTTAAGTCACATCACCTCTCTACCACATCACTTCAAACCCAACCCATATTTCCTAAAAAATCAAAAAGTACACTTATTTAGAGCATCCCAAACAATAAATCTCAAAAGTAAGACCTATTGATAATTTACCTTAATTTTTTTTTATTGGGATTATTCAATAAGATGGGACCAGGAACATCATGATTGGGTGTGGTTGCTCTCAGTTTTGAAGCAACTCTCCTGGGGAATTTGTCTTCAATATTGATGTAATGTACACTACACTATTTTTTAGGATAAATTACACCCACACCCCTTGATATTTATATTTAATACAAATTATTCCTTGAAGTTTTAGAAATTACACTTCCTTCCCTGAAGTTTGTATTTGCATTACAAATTACTTATTCCCCTAGTCAACCGTTAAACAACTTGACAGATTTTGCCTAGGTCAACAATTAAATTATTTACAATGCCAATTTTACCCCTTGTCACTCTTCTTTATCATTGTGTAGGTTTCTCCTAGCACATTTTTTTTTTCTTTTCATAAAGGCATTCCAAAAAATTAAAAACTAGACAAACCAAACAAAACCATTTCAGTTGTCATACAATTAGACTATTGAATATCACACAGTGAAGGGTCTCACATCGGACTGGCTCTCACTGGCTCTGAACGCCAAGGGACTCACATCGGAGGGAGTTCTTACAAACAACGCCAAACGAAGCTATTAAGCCAACCCCACTAGCACAATATTGTTCGCTTTGGCTGAAGCCTCACGGTTTTGTTCTTCTTTAGAAAAGGCCTTATGCTAGTTAGGAAGAGTTAGTCAACTTATTAAGTGGGTTGTGAATGTCTCTCAGACTGATGTGGAACAAACCCATTTCAGGCTCCCACACTATTTGTTCAGTTTTGATTAAAGATTTTAATCATTTTCATGTTTGTAGATGGACTTGATGCTTGAACAGCACACAGTGAAGCATAAACAAGAAGATGAAAGGAGAATCGTCTCGGCTAATCATTGGGATCTCCGTAGGGATAGTAATTGGCGTGCTTTTGGCTATAATGGAACGGTTTTGCATTACCATAGACGACGCTAACAGATATGGAATAGTAGTTCTCGGAGGATGGCAACCATCCCTATTCGTACTAATGGTGTTGATTCTTGTACAGTATTATCAAATCCTTCTGCTAGTATGGAATCACCCAGAATATCTGTGTAGAATGGCATGTCTTTGTGGCTTGGAGTTGGAGGACTTAAAAGGGCTAATATGGTTTCTGCATCTAGAATGCTTTTATCTAAGATTCTTCGTTCATCTTTTGAGCATGTATCTTAACAAGCATTGTAATGTTTTCTTTAATGTGTGCATTGCAGTTTTAGAAGTTTTTATTTATTTATTTATAGTGATATATGCTATTTTATCATCCACAACGTTCTTTGGATCTCCCATGATTCCGCAGTTGTGCCACTATCATGCCCTTCACTGGGAGTCTAGATTCTCTCCTTACTCTCTGTCCGTATCTCTATACTTACAGTGGTGGAGATGCATTTTAAGATAATTCAACAGTCCAGATCTAACTATTTTAAAAAATAAAGATATTAAACAAGTCAGATCTAGATCGTTAGATCATTTTAGAGTGCATCTCACCGTTGCAAGTAGGGAGATAAGGAGAGAGAGCAAGGAGAGGATCCTAATTCCCACGTTGGCGTCTCACTGTATTCTTACATAAACACATAATATCCACACAATTAGCAAGTAATTGATGTACAACAATTTAGCAATTCATTTTTTTTTTCTTCTTTTATCATGGGTACACCTAATCATGTGAAGCAAGACACATGCGCCACTAATGTGTATATATATATATAAGAGAGAGAGAGAGAGAGAGAGAGAGAGAGAGAGAACAAATGAAAAATTAGGGACTTATATATATATATATATATATATGGTACTTTCAATAGGTCATAACTTTGCATTTGGTGGTCTATTTTTGGATGATTTTGTTTATTCCATCTATTTTTTCGAGATCTATGCATTATTTTGTTAAAAAAAAAAAAAGTAAAAAGGTTACTGTTTTGGGTTTGAATTTGAATTTGAATTTTCCAACATAAATTATGAAACATAAGATAAAATAATCCTGTGATTCAATCTACATGGTGTGGGAAGTTTATGTTCTATTGTGTAGAACCATAGTTTGTATGATACCAAATATATAGTTGCTTTGTCATGGGTTGCTTTCGCCTTGTCTTGCTTTAAGTTAGTGTTAAAATGGGATAAATATGTTTTAATTTTTTTTCTTTCAAATTTTATATTTAATATTTATCAAGTTTTAAAGATCCTAAGAGGACGAATCTAAAAATATCAATTTAATTAAAAATGGGTTTATATATTAAATTTATAATGTTTTAAAGTTGTTAGCACAAAATATACATAAAGTGCAAATGTGTCAAGAATTATTCTTAACTGTACATATTTAGACTTACCAACCAAAAAGTGTCATGTGTGTAGGGGTGTAATTTTGGCCCATGAGCCCGTAGCCCACTTGAAGCCTGTCTGCAGCCTGGGTGGACCCAGCTAGACCCGGACCCGAGCACTCCCAAGACCCTAGGCCTGGGCCTGGGCCTGGGCTTGGGTCGTGTGTTCTGGAGCTTGGCCCAGACCAAAAAAAATTTCCTCCTCTGCCTCAGCCGACTTGCCCCAACGGCTCTACAACCTTTCACTGTGCAACGATAAGAAATTAAAAGAAAAATTAAAACCGTCATTTGACCATTAATTTCACAACGGCTAAATTTTTTTTATTTATTATAAATTAATCCCTCCCTCCTCCCAACTCTTATAAATAAGACTCATCTCCCATTTTATTTCTCACAAACAAATATCTCTCTCAAACTTTCGTTCTCTCTCAGCTCTCAACCCTCTCAATTAATCTTGAAATCTCTTCCTTAAGTGGCAATTGCAATTGGGCAAGAAGAAACTTTTATTATGAGAAGTTAATTTTTGTATTGCATTCACCGATCAGTAACATTAATTATTTAAATTAATATTTATTATTTATTCATTTTTTTACGTTAATTATTTCGTAACATATATTACTTGTTATTATTTACTCATTATTTTAATTAATTGTTAATTAATATATTATTTTACTTAAATTACTATGGATCCTAATTTTTCTTATGTTTAAGTTAAAAGTTGATATATGTTTATGTTGAAATTAATATATATTGTTAATTTGAATTACTATATATTAATATATATAAGCTTTTAACTTAAAAAAGCTTCACCAAACAGGGCCATACCGCTAGATGATGATGCTACTGTTAAAAAAGGGATATTAGGTACAGTAGAAGGAGAAGCTAAAAGCGCCCCTACCCCAACTTTCAAATAATCAGTTTTTTTTCAACTTATTTAAGCTATTTCTACCTAATAAGCTATAAGCAGAAACTGCACAAAATGGTTTGGCACAAACTTCCAAATCAAAATAAGTTATAATCACCTCCCAAAGTTATAACAAACAGTCCCTATGTTTAGTACTATTTGGGAGCATTTTGAAAGAGTATTTGTAACTAATCTTGATTATACAACTGTATTTAAAGTAAAATGTAAATACTATGGACATTTACTTAGTATTGCATTAGCGGAGGTACTAGCCATCTAAAAAGGCATGCTCAAAGACATTTACAAAATCAATAATTTGATATTAGAACTCAAATGCAATTGGGAGGGTTTATTAACTGGTAATTTGCAAACATTTTCATATGATCTTATGCGTGCACAAAGTTCTGTAGTTGATTGTATTATTAAAAAGACCAACATTTTACTACTAGTGAATTTCCTGATTTTTTAGAAATGAATATTCATTGAGGTTTTGCATCGCAATATCAAGATTTTTCAAGAAACACTATTAGAAATAGGATTTTAAAGAAATTTGAGGATATTAAAAGTGAATTATTTGATATTTTTAAAAATTTGAATAGAAGAGTTTGTTTAACATCTAATATGTGGTCAAATAATAGTTTAGAATATCAATGTATTACTGCACATTTTATTGATAATGAATGGAAATTAAATAAAAGAATCATTTCACTTAGATTAGTTGAACTTCCATACACTGATCATTCACTTAGGGTAGAAATAAGAAATGTGTTATATGAGTGGGCTTTACAAAATAAAATATTTACCATTAGTTTAGATAATGTAACATATTACAATTAGAGTGTAGCCATTTGAAATCAACATTACAACGCTGGAAGTACTTCAAAATTTTCCTCTTGTTCCTTGTCCCACATTGATTTCTTATTAGTTTTTTTACACATTTTATATGTAGACCTTTGTTATTGGGTATGGGGCAAGAATGTAGGGGAGACTATGTAAGCTTTGGGCTATATGTGTGAAGCCCATATATATATATATATACAAGCGTGAGCATTGGACTTCGACTTGGACTTCGACTGGGCTGGGTTGGGCGCGTGTGTGAGCTAATACAATATATATATATATATATATATATCTGTAATTGATTATATTATTAAAAAAGAACACCCTTTTACTACTAGTGAATGTCCCGATTTTACAGAAATGATTCACGAAAGTTTTGCACCGCAATATCAAAGTTTTTCAAGAAATACTACTAGAAATAGAATTTTTAAAAAATTTGAGGATGTTAAAAGTGAATTATTTGACATCTTTAAAAATTTGAATGGAAGAGTTTGTTTAACATCTGATCTGTGGTCAAATAATGGTTTTGAATATTAATGTATCAGTGCACATTTTATTGATAATGATTGGAAATTAAATAAAAGAATTATTTCATTTAAATTAGTTGAACTTCCATATACTGGTCATTCGCTTGGTGTAGAAATAAGAAATGTATTATACGAGTGGGTTTTACAAAATAAAATATTTACGATTAGTTTAGATAATGCATCAATCAAATTGTAGCCCATTTAAAATCAACTTTACATTACTTGTTGATGGTGATTTATTTGATGTTTTTTGTTGTACCCATATTTTCAATTTGATTGTTAAAGAAGCTATGCATATATACGAAACTTCTATACTTGTAATAAAAAATGCAGTTGTTACTATTATGTCTTATGGTAATCGAATTTCGGAATATAGAAAAATTTATCAACGAGAAAATGTGCCATTTAGAAAAATAATTTTAGATGTAGATAGTAGGTGGAATTCAACATATAATATGTTAAAAATAGCTTGTAAACAAAGAAGAGCAATAGACTTATTTTCTGCAACAACATCAATAGGAGGAGTACTGACTACCTTTGAACTTAATTGGCTCTAAGTATCCTTGTATAAAGATTTTTTTAAAAGTTTTTGATATTTCAACAAAATTATTTTCTTATATATATATATATATATTCCTGCTTCACCATTTGTTTTATATATGCTAGCAGAAATAATGAAATTCACAAAATATATTGGTAATGAATATTATATAACCATTATTATTGAAATGAAAGAAAAATTTAATAAATATTTTGATCTATTATCTCATCTTTTAGGTTTAGCCATCGTAATTGATCCTAGATTTAAAAAAATTTATTTACAAAAATTTTTAGATCGTATTTTTTCTGATAAAAAACAACTTGCCCCTATTATGAAAACATACACAAAATTATTTGAAGAATATACGGAAGCTATATCTGCAAATACATCTACACACACTACGCCAGCCTCATTCTTGAGGTAGAATTAAGTATTTTTTCAACAATAAAAAGTAGAAAAATATCTCAAATACAAGCGTAAGTGGTTCTGAATTACAATGTTATTTAGATAGTTCAGCAGTGGATGATAACTATGATTTTGAAATTTTGAATTGATGGAAACAAAATCAACCTATGTGGCTTGTGCTTTCATAGATGATCTGTGATATACTGACCATTCATATTTCTATAGTTGCTTTCGAAACAGCTTTCACCCCAAATGGTTGAGGCATTGATGATATCGAGATATTATATGCATGTGCGCTTATATGAAGACAAAATTATAGTGAAAATAAGATAATTTAAAGCGATTTGAATGATATATCCTCAGCAACGCGAGTGAATTGTTTGCCTCTTCCGCTGACTGATCAATATTTTTTTTTTTTCACTATTTCATTTCATAATGTATCTATTAGATTATTGAGGTGGAGTATAATGCAAATGGTTGGTAGGCTAGTTAGTGCCAACCCAGTTGAGATGTACTAGACCTATAACAATGCAATTTCTCTACCATCACTACAAGAATTTGCACTTTTAGTGACCACTTTCCGTGACCAATATAAAAGTTGCTAGCTAAAAGTTACATTTTGGCGACCAAATATTAATTAGTCGCGAATGATCATTATTTTTGGCGACCAATATGAGTTGGTCGCAGAAGGTCATACTTTGGCGGCCAAAAAATGAGTTGGTCGCAGAAAGTGGTATGGTTTTGGCGACCAACTACAAATTTGGTCGCGGAAGGTCACATTTTGGCGACCAAAAAATAAGTTGGTCACGGAAGATCAAAAATAAGTTTGTTGTGGAATTGGTGACCAAAATTCTGGTCGCCAAAAATTTATTTTTAGCAACAAAAAATATTTTAGTCACCGTATATTGAGTTTTTGCTTCTAAAACAATGTAGTCACCGAATGAAAAATAAAAAATTATTTTTTATCTTTTGGCGATCAAAATTTTGGTCGCCAAAAAACTTATTTTAAAAAAAAATATTTGTGCTTTTCAATAAAAAAATATTTGTATTTGTGCTTAAAAATAAAATCAATAAAAAATAGAACAAAGACTAATCTGTATTTGTGCTTTTAAAAATAAAGAACATCAATAAATGACTAATCTGTATTTAAAAATAAAATAGAACATCAATAAAAAATAAAGACTAATCTGTAAAGAATATGAATAGAACAAAGACTAATCTGTATTTAAAAATAAAGAACATCAATAAAAAATATTTTTCTTGTTTAAAAATAAAATAAAATCTGTATTTGTGCTTTTCAACTAAGCAAAGCGTGGGACTCCACTTAAATTTTGAAAATTTCCGCCAAAACATAAATTTTGAAACAAGAAACAGAGCGCGGGACTCCACTTCCTCTATCAATCCCAAAACAAAAGACTTCTTCCAAAGAATTGGCAAAACTAAGCTACTAATCTATGGCTATCTCAGGCAAAACCACCACCATCACCAATCCATCTTCAACTCTCCATCCTCCTTACTTACAGGTCCTCTCATTCTCTCTCTCTCTCTCTCTCTCTCTCTCTCTCTACGTTTAGTTCTTGTGGATCTATAGTGAAAACATTTTTTAAATTTTTTTGTTGTTGTTTGATGCAGATGATAAGCGCAACAATATCGTCATTGAAAGATCGCACAGGTTCGAGCCAGCCAGCCAGCGATCGCAAAATTCATGGAAGAAAAGTACAGCTCTCTGCTTCCCCCAAATTTCAAGAAAATGTTGTCGATTCAGTTGAAGAAGTTTGTGAAATCGGAGAAACTTGTCAAAATCAGAAACTCGTACGAGGTGTCTGCATCCGAGAACATGAAATTGGTTGCTGCTGCTGCTGCTTCTATCAAAGAATCCGAGAAAACATACAAAGTTGTTGTGAAGAACAGAGAGAAGACGAAGGGGCTGAGCCAAGTCAAAACTCCAGAGGCTCTGAAGAAAAAGAAGAAAGTTTCGACCCCTGCACTAAAGAGGGAATTTCATCACAAACCAGATCCTGCTATTTTCCAGAGTGAATAATTATCACACCAATCCTTCTCTATTCTTGTGTGCCTTGCATTTTATTTCTTACCTTTACATCCAGGCCCTCAATGTTCGCCACTTTGGTTTTAGAGATGGAAAAATGGATATCCTGACATGCTAATAATGAGAGGACAAGATCTCAGTTGTGTCTATCCCCTTTGGGTTTATCTGTGCATTATCTACCTCTGCATGTAAGAACTTTTATATTATCTCTTCCCTTTTTGGTTTACAAATTGGGTAGAAGTGGGGAACAAGCACACATCATTTCTGAAAAGTAATGTGCTTTCATAGATGATCTGTGATATACTGACCATTCATATTTCTACAGTAGCTTCTGAAACAACTTTTAGTGTAGGTGTACGGGTGTTGAGTGATTACCACATCAGAATTTCATCTTAAATGGTTGAGACACTTATGATATCGAGAGGTCATATGTATGCGCTTACAAAAAGGCTTTTTTTTTCAAAAAAAAAAAAAAAAAAAAAAAAAAGATTTTTCGACTAAAAAATTAGTCGGCAAATTCTACACTTTTGCGACTAAAATCATTGGTCAGTAATTTCTTACTTTTTGGCGACTAAATTGTTAGTCGGCGATTCCTCTCCTTTTGACGACTAATCTGTTTGGTTGTGGAATGTGACAATTGGCGACTAAGATATATGGTCGGCAAAATATCACTTTTCGCGACCAAAATGTTTTAGCGACAAAATGGATTAGTTGCAGCAATGATATATTTAGCAACAAAAAATTTAGTCGGCAAATCTAACTTTTCCCGACCAACCAAAATTTTGGTCGCGAATTACTTTTGCCGACCCTCAATTGGCGACCAAAGTAGCGACAAAAAAATTAGTCACGGATGACTTTTGCCGACTAAAAATGGACTTTTAGCGACCAATTTTTTGGTCGGCAAAAGTGTTAATTCTTGTAGTGCATCATCAATAATCTATATCTATTTTATTTAATGATATTAATTTTTGTAATATTTTATTTCATTTGGAAATAAAAATTATTCATTAAATAAATGTTATTTATTTAATTTAATGATTGGAGCCTAGACCCGCTGACCCTAATTTGAGTGAGCCTGGATCTGGGCCAAACTTTTTAGCTCGTGGGCCAGCCCGACCCAAAAAATGGCGAAAGCCCATGAGATCCGAAAGCAAGCTGGGCTGGGCCGGACCCAAATCACACCCCTACATGTGTATGTTTACCACCAATAAAGATCAAAGCTTAGACCTCTGCTACAAAACATTCTCAATTTTTTCAAAACTAATTTAGTTAAAAATAAAAATTAAAAGCATTCATCAAATTTTTATTTTTCCTTTTTTGTTTGGTTTCAAATATTTTTCAAAAATTTAGAATTTTTATACAAGAAGATAGTTTGTCTATGGATCACAACTGGACTGGGCACCCTAGTTGGGACCATGAGCCCACTTCGTTCATATTGTAAATTTTTATGTGTAAATCTTTTAATTAAAAAAAATTAGATTGATTCAATAATTGTAATATATATATTATTTCATTACGCTTGTCGTTCAAAAAATGAATGATTTATTTTTAAAATTATTTTTACCTTGCATTTTTTCTTTTTTTGGAAGAAAATTATGAAGAAAAAAATATATCTACATTTATCGAATCAAATTTGATTTTTTTTTTTTTTTTTAATGATCTAGGTCTATTTATACAAAGTTTTTCAATTGAAATTGAAAGTGTATTTTTCTCTGATGATTTGTGATTTTAGGATTCAAACACTTATGAGTATACATCAATGAAAAGTTTGAGTGAACCTAAACATGGATTTTGGGGAGTTCTTGCAAGGAAAGCTAAAGCCATTCTCGATGATGATAATGCAGCCCAACAATCTGAAACACCTGGAAGAATGAGACCGCAGATGTCTGGTACAGAGACAAGGGGACAGGTGAGAATCATGTTTCAACATTGCATCTGAATGATGATTAGGTCCTGATGGATATTGTTCTAAAATTGCTCCGAGTAATTTTTCTTTTGGAAAGAATAATTTTTTAGTTGTGAAACATTATAAGGTGGTGTATTTAGTGATAAATTGAATCCTAATCTCTCTCTCTCTCACTCAACAAATTTTAATGATCAGTCAATTTCTGAAACCTTGGTTCCAGACCATGTAGTTGTCATTTTGTGTTCAAAAACTTTTAGATGTGCTTGACCTTATGATTTGATTATTTTATCCGCCTGTCTCATGCAGTATCATAATCCATATCATTCACCTGAGAGCCATCGAAAGAGAGAAAATCCTGCATTACAGAAAGGCCTAGGTGCAATTACATCTTCCCTAAGTTATATTGGTGGCACCATTGGTAATGCCTTCGAGGTAAGCTTCAATATGGAGTTTGAAGATTCTTTTGAGAATGTGCAAGATGTGCTTAATTCAAGAATTTGGGGTTGGAATTGGAATCTGGCCTCATAAATATGAATCTGGTGTTCAGGTGTAATCCTCCGAATAGAATTTGAATTTACCTTCAGACCTGATGCTGAGTGTTAGTTAGAAAAGAAGATACACAAGTCACTAATGATTCAGTATTATTTGCAAAATCCACTAATTAATATCAAAACAAGGGGCAAAGGAGAAACAAATGAAATTGCCTTGATGTACACCTGATCAATGCCACTTATTGTCAGTTTAACTGCTACTGCCGTTGCCAATGTCACTCACTGCCACAGTGGTACCATCACATTGCTATGGTCAACATTCTTCCTCCTCCACTACCACCATCACCTCTGTTGTCACTGGCACCTCTGCAACCACCTCAATGACACAATATCACTGGCACTATTGTTGCGGCTGACTCTATCCCTGCCAGGCTGCCAACATCATCATAGTTGCACACGCATCAACACATGAAAACCCAAACGCCACACGCAAACATTCTCATTTTGCTACTTAGCCATCTCTCCATATGCTGCCATTTGTTTTGTCCTCTATCAAACTGATCAATAATAATCACCCCATTTTCTAAAGGAATCTGATCTTTACTCAATAGTTTTAATGGTTTCTTTGTTTGCACCAATGTTGCCCTTTATTTTTTCAGGAGGGTCGTAATATTGTAGAGAACCGGACTGCAGACATCATTCAAGAAACTCGCAAGCTGCTTATCAGAAATTATCCGATAAATTGTGCAATGTATGTGAATTTGTATTTTTGATTTTTATATTTTTGAAAACAGTAAAGTGGGTTGTTTTTATTTTAAAAAAAATGCAAAAATAATTTCCCTAACAAGATTTTTCTGTTTTAAAAAATAAAAAACAAATAAACAATCAAACAAGCTCAAAAGTGACATGAAAACGTGTTATACATGTTCTTATTTTATAAAGCAGCCAACTAGACTCCAATGTGCAATGAGCCATATCCAGTACAGCTAGCACTTTCAAAAACAAAAACAACGGGCCCATGATTATTACTTGGTTTGCCATGGTTTATAACAGTAAGGATGTATTTGTTTGAAAGGATTGAAAGGGATTAGATTTCATGTACGGATGAATGTATTGTTTGATTGGAAATTTATTAGTCGGATTAGGAGTTCAACTGAATTTCATGTTTTTCATATGTGAGATTGTTGTGTCCTAATAGGGCGGTGGGATATAAATGATGGGATAACAATTTCATAAAGATTAACTTGTAAAAAGACACTTTTATCTCCAAATACATGTATCTTGATTTTTTTTAGAATAAAAATTTAATTTTTTTTAAAAATGGTGGGATAAAGATTCAATTTTTTTTTCACTATTATATTGACAAAATGTTTGATTTTATTATGTATTGTACCAAGTAAAATTAAATTAAATTTAAAAACCTCAACTAAAACATAAATAAATTTATTTAATTTTTATTGATATTTTATTTATTTAACTTTTTAGAAGTTCCAGCAAAAAAATAAAATAAAATATTAAAGATAGATTTATTATTACTATTACTAAGTAAACAATTGAAAAGGGTAAAATAGTTTTTTAAATATTTATCATTCTTCATAATATTTTGACCAATCATTGGAATTATGATAGTTTTTTCCAAACATATAATCTCATGAGAAGGATCGGGATTCCACGATCCTATAAGATCCCACTACCAGGATCGAAAGATCCTACCTATAAGGAGTTTTTTACACGATCCGGATCGATTGCACTCAAATGAATCGTAAGATCGTAGGATCGTAAGATCCATATCGAAATTCTGATAACCATAATTAGTGCTATTAGTGGTAATATTTTTATTGGGATGAATCATTGTTGTAGTTATTAATTGAGCAACTTTTCGTCATCATCGCAGCTGTCCTGTGAGCCCCCACACTTCACCAATCCCCAAGTCAACCTAAAATTTCTTTCCCATACGCATGCACGTATACTGTTTCATTAACACAAATTTTATTTATTATTTTGAAATTTATTATTATTTTGTATTACTGTCTAGATAAATTTTATAAATAGTTTACTTTTAAGAATAATTATTAAGAAATTAATGAATGTAAATGAAATTTGATTGCATACCCTAATAATAATATTAAAGGATGAAAAAAAAAAAAGGAGATATAGCAGCCTTCTTCCAATATATATATATATATATATATTTTCAAAAATTTTGAGCAATAGTACATGTCAAAAAAACACAAAAACCAAAAAAAAAAAAAGAGAAAAGAAATGGCCCCATCTCTTCTCCTCACTAATTGATCAATGTTTATCAAGTTGGCAACACTTGTTCCAGTACTCTTTGCTCATTTGGACCGGCATATTGGATGAGATTAGTATTCTCAGTACTCGTTTGGCATGTGAATTTGGATTAGGTTGGGATTGTTTTAGTTACAAAATATAAAATAAGTTTTTTAATTCCAAACTAAAAGTTGTCACATTTAAATCATAATCATAATATTTTTTTCTCTCACAAAAGTCAAAAAAGTAAAAAAAAACTCATCCCAAACGAGACTATTTTAGCCCTAAGTTAAAATAGCTAAAAATTCAAAAAGTTAAAAAGTCAATTCACATCTCAAACAAAGCCTTATTCTTAGGATTATCAATCTTTTCAAAAATTACTTTATTAGCAACTAATTTTGGCAATACAAAAAATAAGCAACTTATTGCCTCATTTAAATTGCATCACCTCTTTATTTTTTTACATATCTTTTCGTAATAAGCAAAAAAAAATAAAATAAAATAAGTCATACCCAAACCAAGCGGGATAATAGTAAGAATAGGCTATCCAGAGATAAAGTTATATGTGAATAGCATTCGTAGAACTGATATTCATATATCATATCTTATGTTTAGATTGGCTTACATGAGCGAGGATTAAAAAAATGCAAAAATTACAGATCAATTGTACTTTCTCAAAATAATTACATACTCATGAAAAAGTTTATGATCTTAATAATTGTTGAAGTTTGTAAAGTTTACTATTTATCTTCTTTTTTTTTTTCCAAACATGTACTGATTTGTTCTTTCCCTTACGAAAATTCTATTAATTTTGTAATTTAGCCCATTAGGGGATGTTTGGGAAGTCATTATTTATATTTTTTTAATTGATTTTTTAACTTATAATTAAAAAAAAGATATGTAAAAAAATTAAAAGGATAATATGATTGAGTTAGTTTGAACCTCTTTTTATTTTTATTATCTGAACTCCTAGTGGAGTATATGTGTGGACTATCTTTCGTAATAAAACATGAGATTATGTATTTTATCAAATTTTTAATTCAATCCATGTCTATCAAACAAACACAGGAACTTATTTTAAGTCGTTGGGTTGGTAACACCATGGTAATCAATGTTTGCTCTATTTTCCCAACCAACCTATAATACAATTGGCTGGCTCCTCCATTACTGATCACCAAACTTCTCACTCCTATATAAACCCTCACCATTTCATGCACTTTATTCACACCATCAAATCCCAACATTATTGTGTTCTTTCTTTTCCTCTTCAACTACCATGAATTCTCAAACTTTATTTTCTAAAAAGATGGCTATTACTATTATGGTTTCTTCCCTTGTGCTGTGTCTTCTTCTAACAATGGCCTCTGCCAGCAACTTCTACCAAGATTTCGACATCACATGGGGCGATGGCCGAGCCAAAATACTCAACAATGGACAGCTTCTCACCCTATCGCTCGACAAGTCATCCGGTTCGGGATTCAAATCAAAAAACCAGTACTTGTTTGGTAAAATTGATATGCAGCTAAAACTTGTGCCTGGTAACTCTGCTGGCACCGTCACTGCATACTATGTAAGCTTATGTTGTTTTGTTCCTCAAATAGAAAAATTCAGACAAAAAGATATGGCTTTAAAACAAAATACTAAGTTTATTTATGAAAACAATATTGTCACATTAATTTTTTTTAATTTTAGTTTTATGAATTTTATGTATGAACAGAATTTTTTCAATGTTGGGTTGATTGCAGTTGTCTTCAGTTGGATCGACTCATGATGAAATTGATTTTGAATTTCTGGGTAATTTGAGTGGCGACCCTTATATTCTCCACACTAATGTGTTTACGCAAGGGAAAGGAAATAGAGAGCAGCAATTTTATCTTTGGTTCGACCCTACCCAAGATTTCCATACCTATTCCCTTCTATGGAATCCTCAGAGTATCATGTAACTCTCTCTCTCTCTCTCTCTCCCTCTCTCATAGTTTTTAGTAGTATCCGGAGATGTACTAGAATCAGTATTGAGAATTTGAGAGTATTGAACAAAACGAATTTTTTAAAATCATCAGCAACTACAAAAAAATAAAAGAAATTTTTTTTTTTATAACAATTGAGTCAATGTATAGGTTGTAAATCAATTATATGAGCTTGTGAATAGACTAGGATTGCTTTGGGAAGCTAGCAAAAAGCTAGCTTTTAGCTTTTTTAGTCAAAAAAGTTAATTTTTTTACTCAAGTCACTATCCAAAAAGGTAGTTTTTTTGGCTAAAAAAATTAAAAGTCAACTTTTTACTAACTTTTTAAAACACCACTATGAATCAATACATATCGATATACATGTGATTTTCATTTTAATTGCCATACCGGGATGTATAGGGGTGACATCAAAAATTTTGTCTGTGGAGGATAAGGTGTGTTCATAAAATTAAAAATTTGAATTAATTTTGATACTAATTGAAGAAAATGTTTTACATGAGTATTGTGAAAAAAAGTAATTTATTATGAGAACATCTAATTATACTTGTGAAATACTAATGAAACAAAGAGTTTATAAAATAATTTTCATAAAATTAGTAGCATCGCATTATATATTTTAGAATAAATTATAAATATATCCCTTAAGGTTTGCTTAAAGTACAGATTGCTCCCTATGATTTGAAAAATTACAAATACCTCATTATTAGAAAAAAAATTTAAAAGAATTAACTACAAAAATGAAATTCATAATTGATCTTTTATACAATAATAAAATTACCTAACTTATTAATTGAAATATATTTCTAACATCATTAAAAACTATTAATTGACTTCATAATTTATCGATAAAATAGACAATTTGTTATGAAATTAGAAACCTCAGGGATGAAATGTAATTTTCATAACCACGGGAGATAATTTGTATTTTAATCAAATTTCAGGGTGTATTTATAATTTATCTATATTTTACAAATAATATAATTTCGCCATCATAGGTGTATTAATATCAAAAAGGACAAAAATTCGATGCTTTTATTTGTGGAAAAAAAATCCCTAAACCCTTGATTTATTTACTTTAATACTTATCATAATATATATATATATTTTTTTAATTAGTTTTTCAGTGGATGGAACTCCAATCAGACAATTCAAGAACTTGAAATCAAAGGGTATTCCTTTCCCTAATAACCAAGCCATGTGGATATATTCTAGTCTCTGGAACGCTGATGACTGGGCTACACGTGGAGGCCTAGTGAAGACCGATTGGAGCCAAGCTCCATTCACCGCGTCGTACAGGAACTTCTCCGCCGAAGCTTGCATACCAGGTTCCTCCTCTTCCTGTTCAAACAACCCGGCCTGGTTAACTCAGTCACTGGACTCAACTGGTCAACAGAGGATCAAATGGGTGCAAAAAAACTACATGATTTACAACTATTGCACTGATACTAAAAGATTCCCTCAAGGATTGCCTCAAGAATGCTCACTAACATGATGACCAACCTATATATATATATAGATCATGAAATTCAATATCTCAACATCATAATTTATTGGGTTAATTACTAACTTTTTTTTTTTTTTGGGTCTCAAAAGTACGATATTTGTGTCATTTTGTTTTTCAGTGTTTAAATTGTATCAATTTATTGTATTAATTTAGTCCCTAATATATGAGAAATGTTTCAATTTGGCTCATCAACCAAATTCGGTCAATAAAGGTCATTAAATTCAGGAATACATGTGAAAACTAGTTTAAAAATTACACTTCCACCATGTTTGATTAGTACGATTAATTGTGAGAGAATTAATAATACATGAGATTAGTTTAATTATCTAGCTGAATTAGTAAAATATATAATCGACTTTTATCTATTTTTGTTTTGAAATGGATATGGAAAAATATATTCTTAATTATATGTTTGTTTTGCATTATAACTTTTTTTTTTTTTTGGGTCTCAAAAGTACGATATTTGTGTCATTTTGATTTTCAATGTTTAAATTGTATCAATTTATTGTATTAATTTAGTCCCTAATATATGAGAAATGTTTCAATTTGGCTCATCAACCAAATTCGGTCAATAAAGGTCATTAAATTCAGGAATACATGTGAAAACTAGTTTAAAAATTACACTTCGACCATGTTTGATTAGTACGATTAATTGTGAGAGAATTAATAATACATGAGATTAGTTTAATTATCTAGCTGAATTAGTAAAATATGTTATCGACTTTTATCTATTTTTGTTTTGAAATGGATATGGAAAAATATATTCTTAATTATATGTTTGTTTTGCATTATTAGTTGTAGAATTTAAAAAAAAAAAATTGTCAATTTGTTGGATATAATGTCTCGAAATCTAATTCAGATAACAAAAATTGTAACCAACACTAGAATATATATATATCCAATAGATTAATAATCTAAATCTTATGCTACAATCCCACCAATCAAATAGGCCTTTTTAGTCTAAAAAATATGTGATGTGTCATTAATTTAAAAATTCACTTAAAAATTATACTTTAAGTTTCAAAATATATGATTTGTGTTATTTTAATGTCCAAAATTGCACATTTATTCTTGATTTTAATAGCATCTATTGACAAAATTTGGTTGAGGGATCAAATTAAAACACTTTTATATATTAAGAATCAAATTGGCACAATTTAAATATTGTTGACCAAAATGATACAAATCTCATACACTAGAGATCAAAAATGTAATTAACCCGAATTTATTACTTCGGTTTACATTTTTTGCTCCATATTTTAGATTAAGATTCTTCATAAGAATTAAAAAATAAATAAATAATTATGGATATAGAAATCAGGGGCGGAGCCCAGATTTCTTTGGTGGGAGGTCATTTCGCCAAAGAGATGGCATATGATAAATCTATTGAGCCGTCGATAGATTCGTTAGAGTTTTATTTGATTAAATCATTATTGAATATTACTCAATAGAGGTAAACTGAACCAATAAAATTATAAGAAATTAGTCTTAATTAATATTTTTTGTATAAATTTTATGGTTAAGGAGATCAAAATGTAAGAATTTATAGATAAACATTAAGCTAATATTTGGTAATAGTTAAAAAAATCTTAATATAAGACCATCTCCAACAATGTATCAAACCATGCATCAGATTTGAAATTTGATGAAAAAGTGACTTTTTCAAGCTCTAATGGTTTCACCAATTTGATATCAAAATGAGAATGAAACAAACATTTCATCAAACTGAGAACAAGCTCTGTATATCAGTATTTCACTGTGCTTGACCAATGGGGTGGGTCAACTGGTCAACCAACCGGATGCCCGACCGGTTGACCCACCGATCGACCGGTTCCCTTTCAAATAGGTAGGTTCAAACCAGTCAAAAAGGTTCAAACAGGTTTAAAAAAAAAAAAATTAGTCTTACCGGTCGACCTTTCCCTTTTGATGCATGGTTGGAACAATCCATATCAGATTGAGAAAATTGGCTTTTTTTTACTCAAATTTGGTGAAAAATTTGGTTCACTATTGGAGATGCTCTAATTAATCTATTATACAATATCCTTAGGTACATAAAGTTTTGCTAGTGGTTCCATTAAATATATTATAGAAACTCACAAATAAACTATATTGTTTTTAATATGGACCGGATTAAATTTTTTCAATAATGTTACAATTCTTTTTTTATTTTGAACTACAATAATGTTAGAATAATTATATTTTTTACTACAATTTGTTTATTATCTTAACCACTCATATTTAATACTAATATAGTACTAACATATATGAGAATAAACAATACATAATAAGAAAATATAATGACCCTAATATTATTGTAAATATTTTCTTTGACTGGTAATTTTACTACATTAAAGTTTTTTCATTTTTTTTTTTTTTTTTGAACGTTAGATTAAAATTGGAAGAACTATTATGTAATATATTTATAAAAAAAAATTAATAAAAACATACAAATAAAATAAAGATTTTACATAAGGTTAGAGGCTCTAGAACCCCCTGACCTGAGCCCTCTGCCTCCAGCCCTTGTAGAAATGTACGGTGACTTTGTCAATTGAAATGTTCAATAAAAGTGAGAAGGATGATTTTCTTTGATTATTAAAGTTGTTATAAATAAATAATGCATTTTTTTTTTATTCAAAAATAAATAATGCATTGATGTTTGACAGAATTTTCTTTCCTTGAAATTGACTTCGTCACCATGGTAACATACGTACGTCTGACATTGTGACAAACTAACATACGTATGTCTTTATAATTAATGAATGAATAGACTTATGCGATTGGAATACAATAAAATAAAATAAAATAAATTTCAATCAAGTGTTCATACTTATCTATTATGTCTCATTGCAATACAATAAAATAAAATAAATTTCAATCTAGTGTTCATACTTATCTATTATGTGTCATTAACTACTTTTATTATTAGGATAAATTACACTGAACTGTTTTAAAATTTAAAAATATATATACATATTATATATAACAAGTTTCATAGTTTTGGTATATTACACTGATTTTCTGTTTAATAAGATACAATGGACTAAATTTAATGCAAATGGTGTGAAAAAGTAAGAATAAATAGCAAAAAATATATATTTTTTAGTGTAAAAAAGATAACATTTTTTTTTATCTCTTCGGCTAATGAATTATAGATAAAAACTGAGTTAAAGATTATATAATTAAAATTTTAAAGGAGCTTAATCTAATTATGTTAAAATTATAAAAAAAAAAATCAAACATCAAGAGATATTAGTGTAATTTACTCTTATTATTATTTTATCAACGAAAGCAAATTTATTGATTTCAAGAACCATCAATAAAAACAGATCAAGGAATAAACATCCTTGCTTAGTCTATGGTCTTGCAAAAAGACCAGAAAATTATTCAAAATTTTATATCTGTGATGTGTGTTCAAACTTATTTTTGTGGGGGGGAAAAAAAAAATTTGTGGGTCATAAAATAAATAAATTGAAAAATTATTCATCAATGGGAGGAATCTGGATCCTCTGCCATGATTTCTTACAATGCTCTGCCCTAACCCACTCAACAAAGCTAGAATAAACAACTTTAACCATTAATTATGGCGGTGGTGAGGCAATGGTAATGGATTCTAGCCAATGGTTCTAGTATAAACAACTTTAACCATTAATTATGTTTTACACAACAACACCCAAATTTTAATTCTAAACACTTCATATCCATCACAGGTTCCGTTTCGATGATCCAAACCATTTAATATGTAAAGCTCGTCGAGTACTTTATATGTACAAAAAATCACGTTAATTGGATATCGGTAGTTTCTTGATCGGAATATATTTTTGTCAATGGTAAATATAATTTTAAAAATAAATTGTTAACAAAAAATGTGTACTGATCAAAGGGCTACAGATATTCGATCAAAGTAATATTTTGCAGGCATAAAGTACTCGATGATCTCTACACATTAATGGTTCAGATCATCGAAACAGGACTCGTGGTAAGCCAACAGTACGCTTCAGTCTACTGTGTGGACTAAAGAGAATACATATAGCATCTAACACTTGATTATATTAAACACATGAACAATATTATCACAAAACCATTGATTTATCAAGCAAATCAATAACTCTCCAAAAATAACATAAAACAACGGATCCACATCTCTCTTAGCTCTCACAGAGGAAAAAAAAAGATGAGAGAAATAGGAGAGAGAGAGAGAGAGAGAGAGAGGAGAAGAAGAAGAAGAAGAAAAAGAATAAGGTAGTTGAGGATCCATTACCAATACGTTGCCACTACTGTTGCCGTCGCCCTCCTCTTCGTTTCGTCTCTCTGTTCTTACTCCGTCAAGTAGGTTATGGTTCTCTATGCAAAGAGACAAAAGAAAAGAGAGGAAAGGAAAAAGAAAAAAAATCCAAAACAGCGTCGTTTTGGCCAAAACGACACTGTTTTGGCATCATGGTGGGGAGCATTGTAGGAAACTATGGCAGAAGATTTGGACTCCAATAGGAGGTAGGGCAAATATTTACAATAAAAAGTGAAAAATTTTGTGGGGTGCAATTTTTGCTATATTTTTTTACATACAAAAGAGTCGCACTTCATGTATTTGTAATTACATTCGATTAACTACCTTGATTTCTAATTGTTCCTAAATATATCTTGACTTGAGATTTCAAATTCTATGCAAATTTCTCGTTTTATTTTATGTGCTTAAAATATATCCTGAACTAGGTTGATATATGTTCCAAAGTAATCATGTGTAATCCAATGCCCAAAGAAAATAATAAAAGTTAGGCAAGCTGTCAACAATAATAACACAACAACAAAACAAGAAAACTCTCCTAAACCCAACAACAATACCATTAACTTATAGCCTCAAATTCATTTTGAAAAGATCAAACATGGCTTGATTTTTCCAATGAAGATAAACAATTTCCTTCCACACCCATGAAATTGTATGGCAATTACAAGATTTGGTTTACCATACATTAGGATCCATACCACACTACAAACTACCTTTTTCCACAAAAAAGTATTCTCAAACCTATACCTCCACCACCGTTTTGTTAGGAATAAATCCCACCCAAGCAATGTAAGCAAATAAAATAAAAATAGAATGATCACAAAATAGAAAACACAAGATTTTACGTAGTTCTGCCCAAATACTTATGTCCACGGTAAGTGAGAAGCAACCCACTAAATATTGAAATAATTACAATGGTGAGACAAAGGCAACTCCTTGGTATTTTCTCAC